ACGTAAACATCGGAATCTGCATGTATAATGAGCTACACAAATAAATCGCTTGGTAGCAAATTGAGACGAACTTTATACGTATTTTTAAGCTTTTAATGCATTTTTACACATTTTGCTGGGCTGCCTATGGTTAAATGGAAAATCAAAGTTGTTTTACAAGTCCATGTTTTACAAGTCCATGTTTTACAAGTCCATGTTTTACAAGTCCATATTTTACAAGTCCAGTCCATGTTTTACAAGTCCAGTCCATGTTTTACAAGTACATGGTTTACAAGTCCATGTTTTACAAGTCCATGTTTTACAAGTCCATGTTTTACAAGTCCATGTTTTACAAGTCCATGTTTTACAAGTCCATGTTTTACAAGTCCATGTTTTACAAGTCCATGTTTTACAAGTCCAGTCCATGTTTTACAAGTCCAGTCCATGGTTTACAAGTCCAGTCCATGGTTTACAAGTCCAGTCCATGGTCCAGTCCATGTTTTACAACATGCCTGCAGAAAGGGCAACTGAAAATTAGCAATGTCATACATGTATACTGGTTGTCACAGCCATATTTTCATTCGTTCTCTTGTGAAAGTGGCCTTAATTGTAATTGCGACTGACAGAGGTGCTGGAAAGGGGGCACCTTTGCCCCCCCCCCCCTTGCTCTCTTTCACAAGGGAAGCAAATTTATGAACCTATTGAAAATCTGCCCCCTTGCCCTCACATCATTCTGGGGTCCCTGGTGACTGACAGTAATGCCAGTAATGTTTCAAAACGTAAACTGTTTCATTTTACTGCCTGCCTGTTTCTATTTAATTGAACCTTTGAGATTATGTTAACTGGAAACAAACAGGATGTTGGATGGTAAATGGGATGAAATTAGATTAGAACACTATATAGGGTTGATAAGGGACCGGTCATTAATGGGAGGGGGGGGCGGTGGGTAAGAAAAGGGGGGTGGCTTCAACTATTTATGCTTGAATTGCGGGCGGCTTCAAACTGAAAAATATGTGACAAGGAGCGACTCCAATTTTTTAATGTTGAAAACATATTATAAAACAAGAAAGTTACTATAATTACCAGTATGTTATATTTTATATAATAGAATAATATGAAACAGTTCATTCAACTCAAATACATCTTAATAAATAGTATTAGTTGTCGGAAACTATATTTAGCTTTTTTATTATCGCGTGGGACATGCGAGTATACGCGCGGACAGTCGGACAGCTCCGGAAGATACCGTTGAGAATGTTTACATAGCGAGGGATTCGGGAAAGAACACAGCGAAGCATGAGATTTTTGTCAATAAAACTATAGAAATACACAGTGTTTGTAATTTTAATTTATGTTGGGAATCAACGGGAGGCAATTCTCAACAACTGGCACCTCCGACGGGATTTGTGAGATTTTAAGCTCGAACAAGAGCAAGAACCTAGCATATTTATCGAGTGACAAATCGAAACTAAACGACAGCGTACAAACTACAGTGATATACGACCGCTATTTATCGAGTGATTTATTATATATAACTAAACAAACGAAGTGAAAGAAAAGCATGGAGACAAAACTACAAGAGCTTGATGGGAAACTACGAACATTAAAATTTACGTTGGGTAAAAGCGAACAAGAAATCGAAACGAGAAACCTCGATGTGATAACTAGACACGAAGCGTCAATCAAAGGTAAAATCGAAGCGAGTCACGCCTTAAAAGATGACATTATAGAATTGAAATTCGGTCAGAAACAAACTGAAGAGCAAGTGCAAGAATGGCTTGTCGACATTGAAGGAACTTTGAAAACGGCCGACGAGAAATTGTTAGAATTAAAACGAATAAAAGAAAATATAGCGAAGGAAAACCAGGCCGTTGAATTGGCCGAATCAGTTAAACAAGAGAGGGCAATCGAGGACGAAAAGCACGAACAAAAAATGAGTCACGAACGTGAACTTTATGAACAACAGCTAAAGTTTCAGAAGGTGTTAGCAACGGGACAGCAAAACCAAGTAAAGAAGGCGGCGTCGACAAAATTACCGAAGCTATCTATTACGCAGTTCGATGGGAAATGTGCGAATTGGCCACCCTTTTGGAACAAATTTGTTGCTGAAATTGACGGTGCCGATCTGTCGCCTGTTACGAAGTTTACCTATTTGAAAGAGTTTGTTAAGCCGAAGGTGAGAGCCGATATCGATGGGTTGCCTCTAACCGTAGAGGGGTATGAAAGGGCAAAAAATATCTTGAAAGGAGAGTACGGCAAACCGAGCGAAATTGTCAATGCCTATGTCCAGAACATTCTCGAGTTACAAGTGGTGAAAAGTACTGATCCAGGTGAGATAAACAATTTCTATAAAATTCTGCTTTTTAATGTACAATCACTTGAAACAATGGGAAAAGTTGAGCGTGTGAATGGAATGACACGAAGTGTGCTTGAAAAATTGCCAGGGATAAAGAGTGACTTAGTGAGAGGACAAGGGAATTGGCAAGAATGGGATTTAGCACATCTTATTAGAGCTTTAAAACAATGGAGAGACATAAACCTTAATGATAAAGAGATTGTCAAGGACGGTGACAAAGAGAGACGAAAGGGGAGTAGACGAGAAAGTCTATTTAATGCCAATGCCCGCAAACGCCCTTGTGTATATTGTGATGACGTCGGTTCACGAGAGTGTACACGCGTAGTGAGTGTGGATGACAGGAAGGGCAATCTAGCCAGGAAGAAATTGTGTTTTAATTGTACGTGACCAAAACACCGAGCTAATGAGTGTCGAAATACAACTGTTTGTCAGAAGTGCAACCTAAAGCCCCACACTTCGATATGCACTGTGAAGAAAAGTCTTAAGGTAGCGACAGGGGGGAGTGCAAGTCAAGTGGTATACCCAGTTGTTGACGTGAGCGTGGAGGGTGTGATATGTCGAGCACTACTTGACACAGGAGCAGGAAGCTCTTATGCTTCTGCTGCTCTCTTGGACAAACTTCCAAGACGATCTCAATCCAAAGAAGTTCGACAAATAAAAATGATGTTGGGTTCGACTATTCGTGAAGTTTCTATTTCTACCATCAACGTGGGAGCTACTGACGGCAGGTTTAAGATGGATGTTGAAGTGACAAGAGTCGATCGCGAACGGGGAAACCTACTAATAATCGCCAACCCAAATTACCAGACTCTGGTTGATTTGTATGATCAGCTCGAGGGAGTAAGTATGGAGGACAACGATACTAAGCCCCTTCTACCAGTACATCTCATCCTGGGCGCAAGCGCGTACGCAGCTATCAAGACAGCAGAACCACCCCGTGTTGGTTTCCCAGGAGAACCGGTAGCGGAGAAGACCAGGTTCGGATGGACAATGATGTCTCCAGGGGCGGATCTAGGGGTGATCAGAGCGATCACGCGACTAAGGTAAAAATTGGGCAGAAAATTGTTAAATTAAAATAGCAGTCCAGTTATCAAACTTCACGCAGTGTATTGTATTGAAAGTTTAACAGTCCAGTTCTAAGATATCATCCAGT